CTCACGGCCATCATCTCTACCGTAACACCAAGAGGCTTCCCCTCACGACCATCATCTCTACCGTAACACCAAGAGGCTTCCCCTCACGACCATCATCTCTACCGTAACACCAAGAGACTTGGCGCAGCTAAAAGTTCTGCCAGTTAGCAATTGTTGTAAAAACATTCCTCTTGTACTAATTTTTTTTTTTTTTTTTTTTTTTTAGACAGGGTCTCTCTCCATTTCCTAGGCTGGAGTGGAGTGGGGTAATCATGGCTCACCACAACCTCTGTCTCCCAGGCTTAAGCAATCATCTGCTTCAGCTTCCCAGATAGATGGGACTACAGGGGCACACCACCATGCCCAGCTGATTTTAGTAGTTTTTGTCGAGATGGGGTTTCACCATATTGCCCAGGCTGATCTCCAACTCCTCGGCTCTAGCGATCTACCCGCCTTGGCCTCCCAAAGTCCTCACATTACAAGCCTAAGCTGCCATACCTGGTCAGAAATTCAGTAAGACTAATTACTTTCCTGTTTTCAAATATAGTGTAAAACATGTGCTGCACCAGTCCACATTTTAGTCTGATTTTGCCAATGATTTGGCTGTCACGCCTTTTATCCTCGGCTGCAATAATAACAATCTGCTTGTTGTTTTCTCAAACATATAACGCCAAACTATGCTTCTTCCACAAGACACCTTTGGAGTGTCTTGATATTCAAATCCAAAGGATTCCTCTAATGGCTTGGGACCATTGCAAAGTTAACCCTTTGTCCTCAAAGTCAAAGCAGGGAAGCTACTTGCCAGGTGAGCAAAAACTGTGCTTTAGGCCATGGGGGCTATTCCTGCCACTGTCATACAGACAAGGGCCAGCGCACACCCCACCCTGGAGGTGTGGCAGAGAATACCTGTTCCCAAACTATTTGTGGATGAATGGATCATAAGGAGTTCAGTAAACAGTAATTATGGCTAACACAAATGCTTCCTCTCAGCCAACCATATGTATAAGAAGTTCACATAATCCTCTCAATAACTGTAAGAGAGCTGGGTGTGGTGGCTCATGCCTGTAATCTCAGCACTTTGGGAGGCCGAGGCAGGTGGATCACCTGAGGTCAGGAGTTCGATATCAACCTGGCCAACGTGGTGAAACCCCGTCTCTGCAAAAAATAAAAAAATTAGCTGGGCGTGATGGCGGGTGCCTGTAATCCCAGCTACCTGGGAGGCTGAGGCAAGAGAATTGCTCGAACCTGGTTGATGGAGGTTGCAGTGAGCCAAGATGATGCCACTGCACTTCAGCCTGGGTGACAGAGTGAGGCTCCATTAAGAAAATAATAACTGTATGAGGTTATCATATAAGGTGATGATTCCGAAGCTGCCTGTCATAAACAGGAGTTGTTGGGTTCAACGCACCTAAGCACCAATCTTACAGGGGAAAAAGGAACGTGCCTTCAAGCACGTCAGTGGTGTGCTGCACTGTGTCTACGCTGTTCAACAGGAAGGGTTTCACTGTTTAACTAATGAATGAAAACACAGCTACATCTCACTCAGGCACATAAAACTGCACAACTGTGTTCTGCATTTTATTTAAAGCATATTCTAGATGCAAAGGTTGAAAAGAAATGCCTGCTATCTAGGTAACACTCTTTTCTTCTCTACTGTGAAAGCCGTAAATCAATTGTCTTGGAAGTTCTGCACCCAAACGTAGCACTCAGAGACACAGCAGCAGTGAGTCACACACATAACAAATTGCTCATTTTCCTCCTCCCCGCCTTTCCTCTAAATCATTGTAATGCTATTCCTGAATCATAGGTTTGGTTTTTTGTTTGTTTAGTGTTTTAATTCTCCAGCATAAAGCTTGCCAATTCCAGCTTTGTAACATGACAAGAATCTGTCCCTTTAGTTTAAGTAAACCTCCAGTTTTCTTCCCAGGTTTGAAGTTCTACAGTGCAGGCAAAGCCCACACCTCTGGTCCTCCCCTTGATACTACGCCTGTCTTGCTAGATCTCTGCAGATATCAGATCACCAAACTCCCCACTGGAAGTCCAACAGGCAACCCTATTTTATTGCGGGAGGCGTGTATTCAGGATCACAAGACGTAGCACGCTGTTTTACTGAGTTATCGTTTTCTCTTCTGGAAGTCTCATACCACATCCAAAGAGGAATGAACGCTTGGAAAACTTAACGTTTACTAAAGCCGAACATGTGCCTTATGACCTAATAATCCACTCCTGAGCACACACCCAAGAGAAACGAGTACTTACAGTTCACAGTGGATTTATTCATGATAGTCCCAAATGGAAAAAACCCAAATGTCCATCAACAGCTAACTGTATGAACAAATCATGGTATAACCATACAATGGGATACTATTCTGCACCAAAAAGGAATGAAGCCCTAGAACACTCAACAAACGGGTGAATGTCGCAGACAAACGTTGGGCAAAAGACCAGACACAAAAGTGCACACTATACCACGCTATTTACACGAAGTTCAAAAACAGGCACAACTACCCTATGGCAATGCAGGTCACAGGAGTGGCCACCTACAAGGAGTTACAGGCAGTGCAAGTGGTGTACGTAAGTACAATCAACAAAGCTAAGATAATGAAGGGTTCGATGCATACGAAACGAAAGTTTCAGTCCATCTGTCAGCCTTCGATGGCAATGCAACATGATATAAAACGTTGGTTTCACAGAGCACAGCAGCAAGCAAAAGTCAGGCAGAAGCAGAGGCCGTCAGCATTGCCTCTTGCGAGCCGTGTCCTCTTCCCGCCGTGTGCTGCAGCCAGAACACGGCCACCTGGTTCCACCACGAATCTGGCGCGTCAGTCCCCGTGGCATGAACCGCCGAGCTGCCTGCAGTCCCTCTCTGCCTGACCTTCTCATCGCGCTGAGGGCAATCAATCCTTCTGGAAGTCAAAGGAATCTGTCTTCCCCACTCTCCAAGAAATATTTCCTAATGGTCCCCAGACAAACATAAATTCAAGGGTGGTTTCTGCTCTCGTGTTTACCTGTTCCTCAAGGTCCAAATTCCTGACTTAGTAATACAGGTGAAGACAAACCACTTCTAACATTACAGGGAGACATCTTATCTGTGGTCACATCTCAAACTAGAAATTATTTGATAGGAATCCACAATCAAAGGAGGCAGCCTGCACTAGGCGCTGTGCATCTGGAGTAGGCTGTATCCTATCTGCTCCACATTTTGCAAAACCTAAAAACTGAGAACTTACAGAATGTTAGCACAACAAACATGTGGTTTATGTTAAGGAACTGCCTGGCCAGGTACAGTGGTTCGTGCTTGTAATCCCAGTACTTTGGGAGGTCAAAATGGAAGGATTGCTTGAGGTCAGGGCAGCCGGGGCAACATAGGAAGACCTCATCTCTACAAAAAAAATTAAAAAAAGAAAAAGAAAATTAGCCAGGTGTGGCGGCACGTACGCTACTTGGGAGGCCAAAGCGGGAAGATGGCTTGCACCCAGGAGTTCAAAGCGACAGTGAGCTGTGATCACGCCACTGCACTTCAGCACAGGCAACAGAGAGATTCTATCTCTAAAAAAAAGAACTTTCTAATTTTACCAAAACAACCAGAGGAACGGATGGACAACTTCTGAAATCCCATGGTTCTCCACTACACATAAATGCTTTGTCTCAGTAATCCTGGAGAGAGAGAAAAAAGTGAGATCCTATATCCCTATTCTAATTAATATGCACTTTAAGTGACATAAATCAACCTGCATCTATGTAATGGAAAATAGGATTTGCTGATAGTTAATCCATATGAACATAAATCAGTAGACAGTGGCATCTTTTAATCAACATAATCATGTTATCTAGTAACGAATTCTAGTCATTAAGGAGGAACGCAGTGAGAGAGAAGTGCCCTGAATAGTATGCTAAAGAGACACTTTCAGGAAATGTCAAGATACTTAGTCCACATGTTCACAGTTATTTTCACCTACTTCTTAAAATAATAAAAAAAAGATTTTTAAAGTCACCTGAGTACCCACAGCATGGTCTTACCTAACACTCCAATGTGGATAATTTCTACCGCGATGGAGCATCCTTGTCTGATGTTAGTACAAAATTCATTTCCTCTGGATAGATTATCTTCTGTCTTTCAATGTCCTGGGACTAGTGGAGACCCTAGAAATAATACAGACCCAAGATTCTCAAACTGGGGTACATGTGCTTATGCTGGGGAGTCCACAGAACCTCAGAGAAAATAAGGTACATTTTCCTTAAGAGTACTTTTTGGAGGCTGAGCACAGTGGCTCATGCCTATAATCCCAGCACTTTGAGAAGCCAAGGCGAGTGGATCATAAGGTCAAGAGATTGAGACCATCCTGGCCAACAAGACGAAACTCCGTCTCTACTTTAAAAAAAAAAAAAAAATAAGCACTTTTTGACTCAGACTGCAATTTTTTTTGTTGTTTTTTTGAGATGGGGGTCTTACTCTGTCACTTAGGCTAGAGTACAATGCTGCAGTCATGGCTCACTGCAGCCTCAGCCTCCTGGGCTCAAGAGATCCTCCTACCTCAGCCTCCCTAGTAGCTGGAACTACAGGTGCACATCACCACACCTGGCTAATTTTTTTTTTTCGTAATGATGAGGTCTCACTATGTTGCCCAGGCTGGTCTTGAACTCCTGGGTTCAAATGATCCTCCCACCTCGGCATTCTAGGAAAGGCTATTCCCAGCTTCATCTGTTATATAACAAGAACCTGTCTCTGTTAAAAAAAAAAAAAAAAAATGCAATGAAGTCCAAACAGGCCGACTACGGGCACACTGCCCAGGAGTTAGCCCTGCTCCATGAGAAACAGTACTATAAAATAAAAACAATATATTTTGGAAAAAAAAAAGAAGACCAAACAAAGATTTCAAGAGTTCCCCTCCCACCCCATTCAACCCTCTTCCACCTCAAGTGCACTATTAACAAGAATTAAATAAATGTCTCACTATAATGAATACTACACAGCCGTTCATAAAACGCCTATCAAAGCCTTTCTTTAAGCAGCTAAACATCACTGGTATTCTACGTAGCTCAGGAGCCATCCAGTTTTGCACATATGCAATTATTTACCGTGTCTTCACTAAAACTTGGCACTTTCAACACTGAAAGTGGCCTCCATTTAGATACATCTAAGAAGACAAGTCAGAATAGGGAACATTTGTTTGAAAAGAAGGGGAAAAAGGGAGGTGAGAAGCCAGAAGGCCCATTCATTCAACAGTGTAACTCTGTCAAACAGTGTATCTCTTTCCAAGAACAAAATAAAACCTAAGAACCCACAGGAGCCCTTGAGTTCATGTAGACACAGCTTTCCTCCTAACATCTCCATCTTTTAAAAAGAGCATCCTCTTGTCTTCCCCCCACAAAAATGACAGTGCATGCCAAATATAGATGAGTTAACTAGATTAGAGTCCATTTTCTTTCTTTTTTTTTTTTTTTTTTTTTTTTTTTTTTGTGACAGAGTCTTACTCTGTCGCCCAGGTTGGAGTGCAATGGTGTCATCTCAGTTCACTGCACCTCCAATTCCTGGGAGCAGTTCTCCTGCCTCAGCCTCCCAAGTAGCTGGGGTTACAGGTGCAGGCCACGCCCTACTAATTTGTCTGTATTTTAGTAGAGATGGAGTTTCACCGTGTTGGTCAGGCTGGTCTTGAACTCCTGAGCTCAAGCGATCCACCTGCCTGAGCCTCCCAAAGTGCTAGGATTACAGATGTGAACCGCCGCGCCCAGTGATCAGAGCCCATTTTCAAAACCAAGGGTCACGGAATCATACATGCGAAGAGGCTGGTCATGGTAACATTACCACAAGTTTATGAAACTTTCCAATCATACAGTGTTAAACTTTGCATGCACAAAAGGTTTTACTGAATGTCTGCAACCCTCAGTGAGTTTAAAATGAACTGTTCACCCTTGCCTTTCTTACTTGAGCCCCAAAGTGCTGTCCCTTGTAGAAAAAAAGAACTGTCCCTTGTAGAAAAACTGGCCACCTATCTACTTATCTCCTTGGCTCTCTTATGAGCTGTATGATGCAAAAGAACAATCGCATCTATAAAAACTCTGACAGCTGAGAGGAGAATGCCCAAGGACTGTTCTCTACCTTGAGAGCACAGAGTCAAGAAGGGGCGCCAAGATGGTTAGTTCAAGAATCGTCATTTACAGAGGCTTACTACATACTAGGTCAGAGGCAGGGACTCAGAACGCAACGACGAGGGCTAGGAGCAGTGGCTCACACCTGTAATCCCAGCACTTTGGGAGGTCATGGCATGCAGATCACTTGAGGCCAAGACTGTGAGACCAGTCTGGCTAACATGGTGAAGCCCCATCTCTATTAAAAATACAATAATTACCTGGGCGTGGTAGCAGGCACCTGTAATCCCAGCTACTTGGGAGGCTGAGGCCGGAGAATTGCTTGAACCCAGGAGGCAGAGGCTGCAGTGAGCCGAGATCGCACCACTGTACTCTAGCCTGGGTGAGAGTGACACTCAAAGAAAAAAAAAAGAATGCAATGACAGGAACAAAATCCACTTAAGATGGCAAACCTTAAAAGTCTGGAAAGTGAAAGTTTAAGAACTCCTTTCAATGTGAATAGGGCTCTATTGTTTTCAAAGCCCCCCTCCTTTTTTTTTTTTTTTTTGGACGGAGTCTCATTCTCTCACTCAGGCTGGAGTGCAGTGGGGTGATCTTGGCTCACTGCAGCCTCCGCTTCCCAGGTTCAAGCTATTCTCCTGCCTCGCCCACTTAAGTAGCTACAATTACAGGTGCCCATCACCACGCCCAACTAATTTTTGTATTTTTAGTACAAACGAGGTTTCACCGTGTTGGCCAGGCTGGTCTTGAACTCCTGATCTTAAGTGATCCGCCCACCTCAGCCTCCCAAAGTGCTGGGATTACAGGCGTGAGCCACCACACACGGCCCGAAGCCCTTTTGTGTTACCTGATTTGACCCTCATAATAAACCTATAAAACGATAATTACTGTTACCTGCTTTATTATCCCTGCTAAGGCTCAAAAAGGTTACCAAATTACAAACTGAATCATGTTGGAATGAGATCTGAAAGCGCTCCCCTGTTGTTCAGTAGAACTTTTACAGACAGACACTTGCATTTAAAACATTGTCTCCCAGAGAGGGGAGAGCAGGGCAGAGAGGTTAAGTAAGGTCACACAGCCAATAAAAAGAGAGGGGTTGGAATTTCAGTCCAAGTTTCTCACTCCAGGACCAGAGAGAAGGAGACACCACACAGCCAGGGCGGAGACACCCTGAGCCGAGAGCTGGGGATGGGAAACTGGTCCCTGGGGCATCAAACAGGAAGCAGCTGGCGCTGGGGCCAAGCTGAAACCCAACTCTTGCCAAACTCACAGTCCTGGGACAAGGGCTGTAGCCCAGTTCAGCATCCCCCAGGGCCCGGGTCAGCTCTCCAACTGGCTTAGACTACACTGGCCTGGGAACCTCTTGACAAAGCAGAGGTCAAAGATCAAAGAGCAACCGACCATTCCAAACAGAGACAGCTGGGAAGGCGCCATCTGTCACTCCAGACCCAAGTCTCCAAGCCTACCGGCCCAGCTCCCAGCCTGTGGTCTCACCACTCCACCTGGGAGACTGTCCCCAGGGGACTGGCCCCAGGGCTGACCACAGCTCAGCCTGAGCGCCTTCCTCTTCGCTGCTCTGGCAGCTGGAAACGGGAAAGGACCGTGGAACGAGATCTTTTCCGTATGGTGACCTCCACCCCCTTCCAGATAAACAAAAGACCCTCCGGGAAAGGTGACCGATCCCGATACACACTCACAGACGGAACTGACAACCTTCACACCTTGGAAGCAAATAAAGTTCTAGTGAAAAAAAAATCAGCGGTCCAACGACGAATACCTCGGAGGCTCTCAAAGCGGACGCGAATTTCAGTGTCTGCACAAGTGCAGCCGGGTCTAAAACCGGGAAGCTGAGCGCGGAGGCGCGGCCAGCGCCAGCCTCGGGGCAGGCCGACTTCTGACATCTTGGCTGAAACACAACTTTACAAAAGAAGGGCCGATGCGGTCACTGTATTTGTTTTTACCTGCAAGAGGCTGACCTTGGAGACCAGAAAAGAACTTTAAAAATCAAGTCAGAAGAGTGAGGAAGTGAACTTGTTGGCTCTCAAGGGCGCAAAGCAGGCTCTTAAACGCCCGTCTGCGGTGTCTACACGCCCAGAGGGTGTCGCTTTCATGACGCCCCGCGGGTGCGTGGGAACCGGGTGCTGCCCGCGCGTCGGCCTGGCCGCTCCGCGCGCTCTGAAGGTCGCCTCACTGTCACCTCGCAGAGCCCAGGCGCAGATCCAGGCCACGCCGCGGGGCCGACACGAAGACCCGGGGCACTTTTCCGGGTCCGGGGGCCGCGGGCAGGTGCGGCCGGGGCGTCAGGAGCGCGTCCCCGCAGGGTCCCGGCCTCTCCCGCCGCCCGGTCTCACGCGGACACTCCGGACGCCGCGTCCCCCATCCCCGGCCCGAGGCGGCGGCGCGGGAGGGCGGACCCCGGCTTACCCGCAGGAGGCGCGCGGAGCGCGAAGCGGCAGGCGCGGTCCCGGGGCTCGGGGGTGCCGGGCGCTCGGCTCTTCCTTCGCCGCCTCCGCGTCGTTCTCGGCCCGGCCCCGGCCGCCCGGCGGCTCCGGCTCCCTCCGCTGCAGCCGGCCGGGCGGCTCCGGCACTCAGGGGCGGGGTGTCGGGTCCGGTACGCTCCGCCTGCCCGGGCGCTCCTGGGCTCGGGCCCGGGTTCCGACCGCGGGGGTCGTCGGGGCGTGCGGGGCTCCGGGGGCGCTCAGGGGCGTCCGGGCTCTCCCGCCTGTGGACCCGCTCCGGTGGGGCCTGGCTCGAGGCGCGCGGGCCTCACGGGCGGCGGGGGCTGCGGGCGCGCGGGGGCGGCGGGCGCGCGGGCCGGGGGGCTGCGGGCGGGGGCGCGGGGTCCGATGCGGGCGGCGCGGCGCGGCCTCTCGCCATGGCTCCCCCGCGCGCGGCGGCTCCACCCCCTCCCTCCGCGCTGCCGTCACCGCCCGACGCGCGCCGAGCCCTCCCCCTCCGGCCCCGCCCGCCGCCCGCGCCGCCACCTGCGCGCCGCCCTCCGGGATTCCCCGCGGCCACGTCCCGGTCCCCCGAGCCGCGCCCGCCCCTCGCCCGCGGCCGCCTCTCGCCCGCGGCCGCCCCTGCACTGTCACCCGCGCCGCGGGGCGCAGAGAACCGTCCGGTCGGGACCTGGACCCGGAAAAGCTGATCGCGCCCGCCCGGAGCGGTTCCCTCCCGAGTCCGGGCGCTGAGGGTCTTGAACGCCGTGGAGGTCCAGCCGTTCTGTCCCCGCAGGGCAAAGACGCCCGTGGGTTTAAATGGAGGAGGATGAGCTGGGCGGGGAGGAGGCTGCGGGGGACGGGGCTGGCGTTCGGGGCAAGATGCCACCCAAGGGTGCGGCGGTGGGGGCGGAGGACAGCACGGGGGAGTCAGGAACCGACCCAGGAAGTCCGGCTCGCAGGCCACCCTGTTTGCAAATCACTTGTGGACGGTTTAACGGGGCGCAGCCCACATGATCGCATTTCCAGCTGAGGTTGCCGAGTCTACTTCTTCCTCTCTGCGCAGGGGTCACAGAGGACATGGGGAGGACGTGAAGACTCAGACCGGATCCAAAGGTGTAAGGAAACTGAACCCCGCGAAAGCTGGTTTCTCATGCCAGTGTAGACCTGACTCGGAGAGATCATCCAGTGTGTGCTGGTGGTCGGCTCCGTGGGCGCCGACTCGAGGGGCACTGACTGGCTGCAGACACTTGCCTGGGCTGATGTGTCTCCCCACAGGTGGTTCAGACTTGTTCGTAGCAAGAGCAGAAATAGGAGCTATCCAAGGAGGCAGGCAGGCCGCACCGTGACCGGGTGATCCAAATTTCCATCGCCGGTGAGAGCAGATGGAGTTCGTGTCCACATCAGCCGCGCAGTATCCCCGGGGACAGCGCATCATCCGAATCGTAATGATGAAACACCAGACAACCCCAAATAAGGACCATCCATTAAAAAGAGGAAGGGGCCGCATTGTGCAAAAATGCCAGTGTCCTGAAAATCAAAAGAAAGCTCGGGAAATGTTCCAGATTAAAGGGTGCTAAAGACTCAGGGCAACTTAATGCCATGCCTGATCTAGGCGGCATCTTGTACTAGAGGAGGGGAAATGCTTCATCAGCATGCGGGCTGACAAAGTCGGAATACATGTAATAGATTAAAGCACTGGATCAATGCTAAACTTACTGACGTTGATAACTTCTACTATGGTTATGTACAAAAACATCTCATTCTTAGGACGTACACACTGAAGATCTTGTAAGAAAGGTCACAGCATATACAGCTTACCTTCAAATGATTCAAGGGAAAAATCTTGATAGGAAAAATGATAAAGCTAAGTTGGCAATAAAGGTAAGCTGCATATTATCAGTGAAGCTGCATATGGGGTGTACTTAAACATTTCTGTACATTGGAACTTATTTCCAAATAAAAAGATTTGGAAAATCCATCCCATTGGGGGATGAAGTAAGGAGGGGAGAAAGCAGGGATGATGTAAAGGAACGCAAGGGATCCTGTGACTTTGGAACTGTTAAATGTCTTGATTACGGTAGCACAGGTGATAGAATTATCTAGAACTTAATACACATGCAAATGAGTGCGAGGAAAACTGGGAAAATCTGAGTAAGATAGGTAAACTGTAGCAAGGCCAGCATCCTACTATATGATATAATATTGAGGTTTTGCAAAATGTTGTCTGGGGAAAACTAGGCCAAACGTACTATTTCTTACAACTCAATGTGAACCTACCATTATCTCAATACAATTTTTAATTACAAAACAATCATTTTCAGTTACGAAAAAACTGTGTGTAAATGGGCATAGCATCCGGGAGCATGCCAGGGCAGATACGCCGGAGCTCTCGTAGTGGATCCAGAACAGACACGGTGCTGTTACCCGCAGTGAAGGCTCTCAAGAAAAAAATTAGACTGTTGGAAGTATAACTGACAGATCAGATTCATTCCAGCGCTGTAATTTAAGAATCCTAGAGCTGGGGGTTCTTTGAGATCATCTGGTCTAACCTGCTCATTTTCAGGAAACTGTGGGCAGAAAAGTAGTGTGTGTCCACAGGAGCATCAAATTAGCGGTAGACCTGTAACTACCACTTGTCTGCCAAATATGTTCCATTCTCTTTGCACCTTTACCAGCTGCCTGCCGCTCCCTAGATCCCTGAGATTCAGTTAAGGCTGGTAGAAAATTTCGAAGTCATTCACTCTTTGGAGTCCCTGCTTTGTTCTGTGGTGCCAGATGACAGGCATCTGGATTCTGCTCCCGAGGAGTAGGGGCCAGTTTCCATCGCCTACTCCCAGCTCCCAGGAAGCAGATGGCAGGCGGAGCCCCAGTGGTAGCCCCAACTCTGGACCTGCCAGAGCTGTTGAGCTGTTTGGAGCAGCTGCTGGCCTGCTGCTGCTGGAAGCCAGTGGAACAGGAACCTGGGAGCGAAGCAGTAGGATTTCGAGAAGGGAAAACAGTCACGTTCCCAGCAAGTCCTTGCTTTATGCGGTATCACGCAGGGGTCCCGGCAGCAGAAGCAACTGGCTTCTCGTGAGCAACGGATAGCCACTGTACTCTTTCCTTTTGTTGAATCAAATTGAAATTAATCCATGTTTATTTGCATTTGCCAGCCCTCGTTAATAATTGTGGGAAAATACAAAATAGAGTATCTCATCCCTGCCTGTTAGGAAACAAAAACGCAGCCGGGGACCCGAGGTGGAAAGGTTGAAAGTGACTCTACAAAAGCAATGAAAAGGCTCGCAGTATCAGCTGGAGTTCCCCAAGAGCAGCGCTGGAGAAGGACTTCTGGGCAGATACTTTCTTTTGGGAAATGATCCCATAGGATATGGGTGGAAAAAGAATTTGGGACCAGGAAGGAAAGAAAGCCAATCCAAGGATGTGAAATTTCTGTGAACAACTGGAGCTTAGTCCCACGGAGCCCCCGAGGAACTGCGCAGAATGCAAGGCAGAAGGAGGGAATATTTAGCCACCAGTTTCTATTTCCCATTGGTCAACTTGGTGCTGAAGCCAGGAGTGATGGCTCACACCTGTAATCTCAGCACTTTGGGAGGCCGAGGTGGGAGGAGTTCAAGGCCAGCCTAGGCACCACAGCAAGACCCTATCTCAACAAAAGAACAAGTTTAGAATTAGCCAGGTTTGAAGGTCTATGCCTGTAGTTCCAGTTACACAAGAGGCTGAAGCAGGATTGCATGAGCCCCTGATCTCAAGGCTGCAGGGAACTGCAACCAAACCACAGCACTGCAGCCTGGGCCACAGAGCAAGACTTTATCTCAAAAAAAAAAGTAGATGCAGCATGGGACATATACACAAGGCCGACACCAGCCTTGTTCATTGCTGCTGTCCCAGCACCAACAGCAGTGCCTGACTCATGGATGCCCAGTCACTGGACAGTGAACAAATGATGGCCGGGGCCTATAATCCCAGCACTTTGGGAGGCCGAGGTGGGCGCATCACCTGAGGTCAGGAGTTCCAGACCAGCTGGTGAACGTGGTGAAACCCCATCTCTACTAAAAATACAAAAAAATTAGCCAGGAGTGGTGGCATATGCCTGTAGGCCCAGCTACTCAGGGGGATGAGCTAGGAGAATCACTTGAACCTGGGAGGCATAGGTTGCAGTGAGTGATTCAAGATCGCCCCACTGTCTCGAGGCGCGGTGGACGGTCAAGCGCCCTTCTATATTAAAGAGTAAAAAAAAATGAAATACAACAAAAAGTAGGTCCATAATTCTTTTTTTTTTTTTTTAAACAGAGACTCGCTCTGTCGCCAGGCTAGCGTGCAGTGGTGCGATCTCAGATAATTGCAGCCTCCACCTCCCAGGTTCAAGCAATTCTCCTGCCTCAGCCTCCCGAGTAGCTTGGACTACAGGCATGCACCACCGTGCCCAGCTAATTTTTCTTGTGTTTTTAGTAGAAACAGGATTTCACCATGTTGGCCAGGAATGGTCTCGATCTCTTGACCTTGTAATCTGCCCACCTCGGCCTCCCAAAGTGCTGGGATTACAGGCATGAGCCGCCACACCCAGCCTCACAAGTCATATTTTGACTGTTTTGCGTGTGTGTGTGTGTGTCTGTTTTTTGGGGTTTTGTTTTTATTGTTTTAGAGATGAGGTCTTGCTGTGTTGCTCAGGCTGGTCTCCAACTGCTGAGCTCAAACAGCTCTCCCACCTCAGATTCCCAAAGCACTGGGATTACAGGCATGTGCCACCGTGCCCAGCCTGTGTCTGTTTTATTAGTGTTGGACTGGGCTAGGGTGATAGAGTAGTGGGTAAAACAAGTACACTCCTCAGCCCGGGCAACATAGGGAGACCCCCATCTCTACAAAAAAAATCAAAAAATTAGTCAGGCATAGTGACATGTGCCTGTAGTCCCAGCTACCTTGTAGGCTGAGGTGGGAGGATTGCTTAAGCCCAGGAGGTGGAGGCTGCAGAGAGCCGTGATTGTGCCACTGCACTCCAGTCTGGGTGACAGAAGGAGAGCCAGTATCATAAAGAAAAATAAATGGGTGTATTGCTGGCTCTAGTGGACCTTGCTGTCCAAGAGAGGAGTCAGATATTGTGATACACATATACATATTTAATTAGTTTGTGAAGGCTGGGCACGGTGACTCACGCCTGTAATCCCAGCTCTTTGGGGGGCCAAGGTGGGCAGATCACCTGAGGTCAGGAGTTCAAGACCAGCCTGACCAACATGGTGAAACCCCCATCTCTATGAAAAATATAAAAATTAGCTGGGCATGGTGCTATGCATCTATAATGCCAGCTACTCAGGAGGCTGGGGTGAGAGGATCACTTGAACCTGGGAGGCAGAGATTGCAGTGAGCCGAGATCGTCCCACTGCACTCCAGCCTGGGTGGCAGAGCAGGCTCTGTCTCAAACGAACAAACAAAATTAGTGTGTGAAAAGTACAATGAATAAAAGGATGCAGGTGCTGTAAGTAGGATGAGATGGGGGTTTATGACAGATTCGTCGGTCGAGGAAGATCTAAGGAGCCAACACTTAAGCGGAGACCTAAAGGAGGAATAGGAAGCGGCCATGCAAAGTGCAGGGGCGGCATGGGGGGAAGAGCTGCCGTGGCTGGAGCTGTGCTGGGCTTTCAGGGAAGAGCCAGGCGCCGGGCCTTAATGGTTCTGGTGAGCAGTAGAGAGTTTTAGGTAAGAGTGACATAGTCACTTTCACTTTCTAAAAAGCTCCTTCTAGCCGCTGTGTGGAGGGTGAACTCAGGTGGATAATCAGGAACCTCCACATTGCTGGCTGTGGAGGGCGTGAGGAATACCAGGCCACATCAAGGCCCATAAGGGTCAGCTGCCGCAGCGTCCCCTCTGCCACCACTGCTGCCACCAGCAATTTTTCAGGAATATGCTACAACCCACTGTGACATAAATGGGTTCAAAAATGGCAATTGGTAGACTAGGGGTTGCATAGCTGAAAGTTAATTAAAACCTTATTTCTAGCCTAGGCAATATAGGGTGACCTTGTCTCTACAGTCTTTTTTTAATTGGCCAGGTGTGGCAGTGCATGTCTGTGGTCCCAGCTACTCAGAAGGCTGAGGTGGGAAGATTGCTTGAGCCCAGGAGGTAGAGGATTCAGCGAGCCATGATTGCACCACTGCGTTCCAGCCTGGGCGACAGAGCAGGATCCTGTTTAAAAGACAATAAAAACAATTCTCAGACAATCTTACAATTACTATGTGAGGGAAAGGGGAAAATGTTTTCTATTCGTTAACAGATGTGTAGGAAGTAGAACAATTACTACAAACAAAGCATCAGCTTGAATTGAACTGAGAGCACCCCAAATGATTGTGGGGTATTCATCTATAACCACCCCATATGCATACATCCTCTAAGAAAAGAGCTTGAACCTGTCACCATTCCAGAATGTGAGCAAAGTCCCGTGATGTTTCATCCACGCGCACATTATCCTGAAATCTCTCTCTCTTTATTTTTTTTTGGGATGGGCTTGCTCTGTTACCCAGGCTGCAGTGCAGTGGTAAGATCTCAGCTCACTGCAACAACCTCCCTCTCCCGGGAGGCTGAGGCAGGTTAAAGTGATTCTCCTGCCTCAGCCTCCCGAGAAGCTGGGATCACAGGCACCTGCCAACACACCCAGCTAATTTTTGTGTTTTTAGTAGAGATGGGTTCTGGCTGTGTTGGCCAGGCTGGTCTCGAACTCCTGGCCTCAAGTGATCTGCCCACCTTGGCCTCCCACAGTGCTGGGATTACAGGCATGAGCCACCGCACCTGTCCCCCCACCTTTTTTTTTCCTTAGAGACGGTGTCTTTCTGTGTCTCCCAGACTGGAGTGCAGTGGAGCTAACATCACTCACTGCAGCTTCGACCTCCTGGGCTCAAGGAGTCCTGCCTCTGCCTCCTGTGTAGCTGAGACTACAAGTGCATGCCACCAGGCCCAGTGATTTATTTGTTTATTATTTATTTGGTAGAGATGGCAGGGGTGTCACTATGTTGCACAGGCTGGCTTTGAGCTCCTGGCGTCATGTGTTCTTCCACCTTGGCCTTGCAAAGTACCGGGATTATAGGTGAGAACCACCGTGCCCAGCCATCAGCCATCATGGAATATTTTATGCGATATTTTAATCTCACATTTATTGAGCACAGTTTACACCAAGGCACTGTGCTAAGTGCTTTATTTTTTAATTTTTATTTTATTGTTTATTTATTTTTGAGACAGAGTCTCACTCTGTTGCCCAGGCTGGAGTGCAGTGGCAAG